ATTTAGAAATGAAAAAATGTCTAGATATTGATATTACAACAATGTGGTACATTTTTAGTAATTTCTCTAAAAGGTGTCTGACAAGAGGTACTGAAGTTATTATTTTGATTCAAAATGCTCATCTTCCCAAACATCTGTAAAATGAGGTTAATACTGCCTAACACTTAAACCTCTATATCCTCTGATGTGAAGGCAGCAGATTGAGTTTGCTGGTGCACCTGTATTGCTGACTTCATCAGCCCTACGGCTCTATGGGCTCCACCTGCCAGATGCTTTGAGCTTCTGGATTTCTTATGCTGAATCCCTAAGGCCTGAAGATGCTTTCCGGTGTTACAACATAAACACAGAAAAAGAGCACAGTGTGACACTATAATGCCACTTATCATTCTGTGTGAGTCTCAAGAACCTGTCTTGAAATAATATCTTGCTCTTTAAAAAACTGCCAATATTGGCTATCTTTTTTTTCCCTAAATGTTTAGAACTCCCTAGATGGCTACTATTGAAGCACCATAAAAGGAATGTAATTAGAATGAGCACTTTCTAGAATTTCAAACAAGAAAAAAACACAATAGATATATCAAAGATGAGAATGCATTGGCCAAGGGTATAATGAGTATATAGTTCAGACATGGAGTTTCTCAGTTTCTACAAAGATTTGTAAGAAATAAAAGCAAAAAAATCACATTATAGTTTGTAAATACTGAAAGGTTAGATATTTGACAGTTATATTTCAAAACATGGTTCACTTCATTAAGATGTGAATGCATACCCAACAAGATAGAAAAATGAGACCAGATTCACCCTCACATCTGAAAACAATCACAATATATCTAAAATGATTATTTTCAAAACATTGGACACCAAGCAGCAAAAGATAGTGATGTCAGGGAAATGGGGTGGAAATGACATGATCCCTGTTGTCCCAGCTTCCTACCTTGAGATTTTCTAGGCTGCAGCACAGAAGGAACCCAGAGGAGCCTGGCAGACTCCCTGAATTGAGATGTAGCTGGGATGTAGCCTTCTGTTACCAAGAAGACTAGTGTTTGGAAGACAAGGTACCAAAAAGGAAAGAGTTGCATGTAGAGAACCATAGAAATCTGCAGAGGGAGCCCATCCGATCCTCAGTACATCACTTCATGCATGTGAAAAAACTGAGGCCAGAAAAGCATTAGAGCTTCCAATGCCCAGTGCATATACCATGCATATTCCTGCCAACCAGTCTAGAAACCTTATGATTTAGTGGGTATTGGATATAGAACAGGGAAGGGTCATGCAACAATATTGGGTAATAATTAGTCCAAGACTGAGCACTTCCAGCAATGAAAGATCCTACACATTATGTTTCTTGAATGCTCAATAAAACTATTTCTGGGTCAGTGAAGTCATTCAGAATAATTTGTATTTGCTTCAAGATTTCACAGGAATCAGTGCAACCAATCTCTCTATGCTTTCAATAGGGGACTTTCATTTTTTCACTAAGAAACAATTGGAAATATAAGCTGAATACCTTTCAGTTATTTCCCAAAATACAGAATAAAACAAAACATTAAGAGACAGTTTTAAAGAGACTAACTGCCTTTTTGTGTGGATGACTTTTAATAAGAAAATGTGACTCCAAAGAGCTGTGTATTTAGACTTGGAGTTTCCAAAGCTGAATTAAAATGTTTAAATTTCACATGTATTTGTTAAATGAAAATGAGCAAATTATAAGCAGCTTATGATTGATGGTGTTTGTTATATGATAACTTTTAAAGAACTGCCTAATGTTGACCAGATTTGGGAACACTACTAATGGTATGGAGATATATTTAATTTCAAAGTTAATATTTCATTATTTGTGGCCTATGACATTTTAAAATGTA